TTCTTTCCCAGATTCTTTATTAGTTTCTTCCTTACTTCTAGCCAGCAACCCGGAAGGGTCAGTTCACTTAGACTTTAGATATATATATGGTCTTCCTTCTCTTGGTACATGCTTCCAGAGCATATGTCCTTTTCTTCTGGTTGGTGATCCGGCGGTTCAGCTAGCATGTCTCTCTACTTAAGGACCTGGTCGCTTGGTTCTCTGATCTCAGTTTCCCAGTTCCAAATTCGGTCCTCTTGTAGTACTGTCAAAGATCATGCTACCTCCCAACTCAGGACTTGCCAAATGGGTTTTCAGTTCTTTCAGTATCTTGGGTTTATTGCACCAAGGCTCCTATTCTAGATGGTGTGATCGAGATTACAGATTTCTAGATCCTACTGATCATCAAATAGCCATTAACTGTATCACAAGGCTATTTTTCGAAAACGTTGACTGTGGGATTCGAACTCTAGACCTGCTATCTGGAGATGTGACAACTCCATCACTTTAATAAGTCACTACACCCTAATCTTAAAGATATTAATACAATACTTTAATAATTATAATATTATTTTAAGATAAATTTAAAATAAAATTTTAGTATAAAATTTTAAAATTATTATAAAATTATTATATGACTATTATTTAATATTATTATAAAATTTATCTTTAATATTAAAATATATATAAGGGTGTGATGACTTAGTGAAGTGGTGGAGTTGTCACACCCCTAGATGGCAGGTCTAGAGTTCAAATCCTATGAATAACAATTTTAAAAAAACTAGATTTGTATCGGTTAACATTAAGATTATCGATTGGATCCAGATATCTATAATCTTGGTCATATCATCTTAAATGAAAGCTTTGGTGCAATAAATCCAAGAAACCAGAAATACCAAAAACCCGTTTGGCAAGTTCTGAGTGTGGAGTAGTAGTGATCTTTGACGGTGCTACAGGAAGGCCAAATTTGAAACCAAGGACCAAGACCAAAGAACCAAACAACCAGATCTTTAAGTAGGAAAATATACCAGCCAAACCACAGAACCACCAATTAGAGGAAAAGAACATATGCTCTAGAAGCATATACCAAGAGGAGGGTGACTATAAGGTACCTAAAGCCTGGGCAGACCAACTTTTCTGGATTGCTAGCTGGAAGTAAGAAAGAAACTGGTAAGGAATTCAGAAAAAAAGAAAGCTAGAATGTGGGTACTGGGGTTGTTGTGAACCTCACAAGGGCAAGGAGTACATAATAGGATCCTAATTAGAAAGGTTGTGGCTTGAGATATGGATTGAGTTATGGCAGTATCCAAAAAGATAGCTTGAGATACAAACCCGATAATAGCAGCACAACATGTACTAGTTAGGTAAAGTTATTGGAACATGCAGGTAAATATATGGGTAGAATATGTACTATTCTGTTAGGTTTACCACAAGAATAAATACCCATGTGGCTAAAGTCTTAGGGTCATTCCATGGCATTGCTAATCTCAAAATGAGTGTTAGAGTAGGGCATGTTACAAAGAAGAAGCCAGAAAATTTAAATGGGTAACTCCCTAGTTGAGTTATAGGTACGACAACTAGTATGGAACCTAGAGCAGACTACTTAAATAGGCAACCAAAAATTGCATGTATGGCTAGTTGTACTCTCGTTAGTAAATAACCAGAGAGTTTAAATAGATAATCTCCTAGTTAGATTGCAGGTATGGCGGCTAGTGTAGAACCCAGGCGGACTACTTAATTAGGCACCCAAAAGGTGCATGTGTGACTAGTTGTATCCTCGTGAATTTGATGTAATATTGTGACCTATCTGAATAAAGCTACGTGCCAGGGGCCTAAGTGGTCACCTTAAAAAAAAAAAATAAAATAAAATATATATTATAAAATTATTAGATAACTGTTAAGTACCAAATTTTGGAAAATTTAAGATCAGAGGCCAAAATTTGAAAAAATTTGGATCCAAATTTTTACACGTTCCTGAATCGGATATACCAACCGAATTTAAATTCGAATTATTAACCGGATAGATTGAAAGACATCCAAATATAATCCGAATAACCTTTGAAAAATAGGATTGAAACACTACTTTACATTATAAATCTTTAATTTTTTTTTTTATTAAAAAAAAAAGTTGAAAATTTTTTTTTGTTAAAATAAGCCAGACTTTTTTCTTTATTAAAAAAAATCAAAATCAAAAGACTATTATTATTATTATTTGTTAAAAAAATCAAAGTCAAATGATTATTTTTTGATTGGTTTGTAAAGTCGCGTTATTATTTAGTCCAATCAAAAATGCGATTTATCATTGGCCAATAGAAACGTGGGGAGAAATTAGTAAACGCTTTAAAATCCAGCTATAGCATTGCGGCACCATGGATTCCCCTCAATTTTTTCTTGATATTTGCCTTTTACTTCCTGAATACGATCTAATATTGAATTATGGTTCATGGATTCAATGTTGGGAGTCTGGGCAATATCCCTAAGAAATTCCTTAATGATTATATCTCCTTCCTAAAAATTGTTAAAATAATATATAAATAGTAAACTTCAATAATAATAGATTTAATTGAAAAAAGAGTACCTCAATTTCCTGTTTTGAACATTTGTCTTTCGCGTCTTGATCTTTTTCATCTAATGAACGAAGTGAAATTAATATACCAGCAGATATTTATACAAATATAATAATATTTATGAAATATCGATATTCACGTTTCATAAAGACTTCCAATTCATTTGCTTTTCTTCTCGCAAGCTATAAGACAGAGAAATATATATATAAACAAAAAAAGCAAATTAAGGTTTAAAAGAAAAGGACATGAAAGAGACTTACTTTAACGGCAATTTCTGGAAAATTGGCTAATTCAGCAACGTGAATACCAAAGCTTTCATCACAAACACCTATTTTAATGTTTGAAAACTTTAGTGAATAAAATTACAATTCATTTTATACTATTATTTTTACCTTCAGTAACTTTGTATAATAATGTTATGTCGCGTGTTCCACAAGCTTTCTGGTCAATGTGCGCTGTAACATGGAGATTACGCACATGTGGAACTTCTTCGCTTAATGCAGTTAGTTCGTGAAAATGTGTCGCAAATAAGCAAAAACACCGTATTTGTGTCGATATGTGCCTAAGATTCGTTCAACGATTAATACATGCTTGTATAAAAAAAAAATAAAAAAATAAAAGTATCCAACTCTGATATGGCCCAAGCCAGTCCAAATCCATCATATGTGCTTGTTCCTCGTCCAAGTTCGTCAATAATAATTAAAGAATTTGCTGTCGCAGTCTAATAAGGGAGGAATATTTTAAATTCAATGAGCGTAATGATACGAATACATATTTCGATAAGACTTAAAATACCTTCAGAATTGTGGCAGTTTCTAGCATTTCCAGCATAAATGTAGATACACCTCGAAGTTGACTGTCGCCAGCGCCCACCCTAGCAAGTATACAATCAAATATGCATAAACTTGCTTCCATACATGGAACAAAGCATCCAACTTGCGCCATCAAAGCAATAACACCAATCTGTAGTATATGATTGTCAGTAGTAAAAGCAGTAATAAAGAAAATAATAATTTACAATCCTTTTTTACGTACTTGTCGAATGTATGTCGATTTGCCACCCATATTTGGGCCTGTGATAATTTGCAATTCACCTCGGCCTACCAAATAAAAATTTGCTTTATAAACTCATGAGTCAAAATTACATAACCATATGTTATTCTAACCTCGAATTAATTCGACATCATTTGGAATAAACGAAACATCATCTTGAATTTCTAAACAAGGATGACGCGCGTTTTTTAAGATAACATGACCTTCACCTTTTACAAAACAATTATGAATGAATAGTTAGCAAAATTAATACATTACAATGTAATGTTTATTTAATTAAAGGTAACCTTTATCCATCATTTTTGGTCGAATATAAGGCGTAGGTGCACGTACAGAAACATCTGCAAAACTAATTGAAAATGTATACTCAGCTTACACAAATGCATTAAAACTTTTTTTAATTTAAAAACTTACGTAACCAAGACATCAATATGTGCCAATAACACATTTAAAGTTTCCAATGCCGGGCAATAAGAGGCTAAGGATTTGATTTTAAATTGGACGTATAAGTAAAAATTCATGCAGTAAAAATATCAAAAATAAATAAATAAATAAATAAAAGACAATTTACCAGAAATGTTGATAACCTCTTTTACAAGAGAACTTTGTACGTCTTCATAATGTTCTGATTCGCTCAAAAAATCAGAACTTAATTCTTTCAACTTTCGTGTTGTAAAAAACACACCGGTTCGTTGTGTTGCGAGCTCAATGTATTCTGGTTGTTCACGAAGGCAATTAGCTTCCTTTATTTAAACAAATAATATAGATTAAATTTCATATAAATTGGACAAATAAGCAGAACACTAGAAATAAAATGGTGTAATACAAGTCTGGACATTCGCAAACAATATCCGTAAGTTGCTTGTTTTTCAAAATGAAGTTTCTTTTCTGTATCCAACCCGAGTTTTCTTCCGACCTTTTATACCAATAAATTTTAGTATTAATAAAATGTCAACATTAGTAAAGTTATTATAAAACCTACCATTTGATGTTCTTTATTCATTTCTCTCATAGTCTTGTCAAGTTTTTCTTTGATTACTGCATATAAAATATATTAAAATAATGAACGAAAAGCGTTGTTATTTATACTATTAACCTTTTAGTTCATCGTTAAAATCAGCCTTGAGCACGTAATGGTGATGCTCTGCAGCTTCAAAGTCAACTGTTGTTTCAACCAACTCCTTAAACTTTTCAAGCTGGTCATTGTGCTCCTAATAATAATAAACCCCATTAATAAAAAAAGACCGTTTGACAATATAATCTTAAAATGAGAAATCATCTACCCTTAGCTTAGTGAGAAATATTTCCTCTATAAGATCTCTTAACGTGTCATCCATTGAATTGAATAATTCAAAAGCGCCTATAAGCCCAGGTAACTTTTGAATCGCTTGATATACCCGTATAACATCCTATATATGTGTATGATTGAATTCGAACGCATTATGATGCAACAGAAATTTTTATCGAAAAACGCGAATTATCGCCAACCTGTAATGTAGCCTTTCCTCTTTGAAAACGCTTAGCTAGACGGTGAAGATCAGGCAGGCTATTAAGGTGTTCTTCCTGAATCGGGTGGTATCGGTAAAATAAAAATAAATCTCAAAAAGTAGATAATTGAAATTTTTTGCAATAAAAAAAAAAAAATCTTTTGAACATACTCTTAAAGATTGTCGGAGTTCCGTGTCGTTCACGAATATTTCCACGAAAGTTTGTCTTTGCTCTAAAATAAGGAAATTATAGTAAAACCATTTAAGCGTTAAAAATCGATTTATTAAATTGACATACCAATTTCTTTTAAGTTCATCAATGGCTGTTTAAGCCATTGACTCAACATCCTTGATCCTTGAGAAGTCTTGCACTTATTCAAAAGGCCGTATAAACTTGTATTTTTATTAGGGCCTACAAAATCATTGGCACTCAGTATGATTATACATCTAAACATATTTGCAAAATAAATCAAACCATACCATCATGTTGACTCGGCATCAAATTTAACGCTCTTAACGCAGATGCATCCAATTTCATATATTGCGATAAATCATGATGTCGTAAAATATAATAACCGAAATTGCTAGTGTCCGTCAAAAGCTTTGAATCCAGAAAATAGACATTTATAAAATAATGAAATATTATAAAGGGTTTAATTTATAATAAATAAAGACAACTTACTGACAAATATTTAATAATACTCGCACAAGCAGCCATCGCATTTTTCATTTCAAATTCGGCTTTAATATGTAGTGTGCATTAAAAAAATATACACATAAATAGCTTTGAGATATCATATCTATATACTTACATAGAGAAACCACAGATATTTCATCACCCAATAAACGGTTTAGATCTTGTTCAATATCCTTAATATTGAAATGACCTGTTAAAAAAAGAAAAAAAGTGTATTAATCAAGAAAGAATTTCAATGGAAATATTTAATGTGAATCTTAAATATTACTTTTCTTAAGTTCAGTAATGACAATATCACATTTCTCGATCACTTCTCGTAATTTTGTAAGTTCATAATCTTTATGAGCTTCGTCTGATTGAATTATACATTCTCTCACGCCGAGCTGTATCAATAAGGACTGAAAAATTTCACAATAATATTAGCCAACATATAAATAATAAATAGTAATAATAAATTAAATATAATACCTCAAAATTTGAGAATAACTCATTATCAATAAATTCAGATACGCCCAACTCACGAATAGTAGTGTCGGCAAAAGCTACACCAACTATTTTTTGATCACCTAAATTTTGCAATTTAACGCTAAGCACGACAGGTGAAGTACTAATTTCAACATTTGAAAACAAAAAGTCTTCGAGATCTTGTATGTTCCCAGGCGAAGCCTAGAATAATTATATAAATAAATAATGCATAATGTATTAAGAAAGCATCCGAAATTAAATCAAATCAAATAAACAAATACTTGTTGAATTATTTTCCAAGAGTTGGCTTTTTTTTGTTCTTGAGCCCATATCTCAATCTTCATTTGTTTATTCAATAAAGCATCACGTAGAAATGTTTCTAAATTTTGACGAGACAATGCACAACTAGGGACTCCGGTCTTAATATTTCCTAATTTAAAAAAAACAATTAAACACGTCTGTAGAAAAGAAAAACTATATCGGATTACATT